TTGCGGAATCGGACAGCCATGTTTGAATTCCAGTTGAATCCATTACATTTACTTATGTGCAAATACCTTTGGGAAAGGTATGAATCCTCTTCTTCTCCCTACCAGCTATGGGTAAATAGCAGGACAGACCAGGTTATATAGCCTTGGATAGCAACTGGTCTATTGCAGAAAGGAATGTCAACCTACTGTTGAGGGAAAAAAAAATCTGCCTCGTCAGTCATGTATCTTTTAATACATGATCGCCTAAGCATGTATCACGCATGGCACATAACTGACTGTATAAAAGAGTGATTCTGCCCAAATACACAATTTTATATAAATATAAAATCAAAAAATGCTAGAAACAATACTTTACAGTGATTTCAAGTTAAATGCTATAAAACTATCCTCAGATTATTCAGGGAATGTAAAATAAATAAAAAAAAAAATGAGAGAATGAAAAAAACTCTAGTAAATAAAATCATCCACATGGGAAAAAAGAAAATAAGCAAAGAAAAAAAATTCATGAGAGACTGAAAAAGGTTGGAAGGATTTCTCACGCCTTTCTGTTCTGTTAAAATATTTTCCTTTTTCTCCATTAATAATCACCTATAACTTTTTGGACTCTCACAGGGATTATTGTCTTTTTTTTTCTTTTCTTTATCTTCATGTGGGTGATTCTATTTACAGTGTGGGAGGGGGATATTTTCCAATCCCAACTCCCTCTCCTCTATGGGTTAAATTTATTATCAGATCATTTCTTTCACTAAACCATCTGTGGATTACTTCATACCATGAAACTTGATGTCATGGAAGAAGTTTTGTCTGACATTTTTGGTTTGAACTTTCAGCTTGGTTTTCTTAAATTTCTACATTATTTGTAATGACTTATTGTATTAGTTGAAGTAGTTTCTTTAACTTTTATTTATGTTTTATTTTTGCCTCTTTTCTTTGTTTCTGGCAGCTTCTGTTGTTTTATTTTTTTTTTTTTTTTGCATTTATTTTCAAGGTTTCATATTATTTATTCAAATATATATATATATATATATATATATATATATATATAATTTCTGCTTTGAAACATAACCTTATGTAAACAATGACAACATATTAGATGAGATGAAATGGATTAAATCTGACATACTTTGATATATTTTTTGCTTATACATTATTTTTATGGATACAAATTATTTGAGTAAATGCTCTGTTTTGATTAAACAGTATTAATTACATTTACCGACCTAGTATGTTGTCATTGTTTATGTTAGGTTATGTTTTGCAGCAGAAATGATATATAAAGAAAGATTGTCGAAGATGTGTGTTTATAAGCAGTAATTTGGATTTTACTAACCAGAAAGTTCTCTGTGGCTGAATGTTTAACAATGCATCAGGCTATTTGATGGTTTCCATATAGAATATGGGTTCAATTCCTGTTGGCCAGTAAGTGTAATTAATACTATGCACCTTTATATAGTTTCTATTAATTTTACACAATAAAATAGCAAACCATATAAGGTGCACTACGGTACGTCTACCAATTATTACTGTTAGAAAAAGTATTATCAAATTCAAAATTTAACCATATTGTAAGGTAAACTATGCCTACAATTTATGTTTAGTTTCCTTCTTTGGTTTAATAAGGAGTCTTTATCAATAAAGTTGATAATTTCTATTTTCTCATGTAAGCATAAGAAACAAGTTTCATTTAAAGATATACACATTGTATATTTTTTTTAATACTTTCCATTTTACCGCAGGAGTTTTAACTTCTTTTAAATTCCAAAAATATTTAGAAAGAGATGTACTATTTTTATAAGTACTATTGTTGAAAGATAAGATATATTGGTACTATCGAGCTTTAAAAGAATTCTTAGTGCTCCCAATATAAAATTTTTCAACAATTGGATTTTCTATTGTAGAAATAGTACTTAAGTACAAGAGAGTTGGTCATACATTGGTTTTGCAATGGGCATTCTTTAGAATTCCTGCAATTACATTGGTTAATATTATCAAAAGTATTTATCTTGGAATTTGCATTATCATTCAAGTTTTTAAATTGGTTTAAAATATTATTATTGTGTTTCTTTATAATCTTCTCAAGATTATTTGTGCAGCTATAACTTAGTTTTAGTCTGTTTCTGTTAAATATTTTACTGAGAGGATTATTTCTAGGGAAATGTTTATCAATTAAATGGAACTTCTGGCCTAACTTAGTACTGACCATTTGGTTAAAAGGGAGTGTATACTAAATGATTTTTTTATCCCTATTTCTTCTCCTTAGATCACTATTATCATCTTTTCTATACTTGTTTTCTGCGTACTTGTAACCACTATTTTAAAGTTGTATTATAAACACCACCATATTTATTAAACACAACTTTGTTAGATGAGTTGTTGCTAAACATATATTCTATATCTGAGAGTATATGTTTGATTACAGATGGAGGGTGGTTAGAGTTAAGGTGAATATTGACTTTCATATAAGGTTGGAATACATCATTAACAAGATCCAAAAGTTGTAGCTTCTGCCTGTCTGTTTGTTCAATATCAAACTCCTCTTAGGCCTAGGGTTTTGGAGATAGACCTCCATGATCATATATATTCTGAAACTACATTACTCTGGGTACTTGGATAAGTATATTTCATTTTGATCAAAGGGATTCCCAGGGTGGGGGAGTGCACAAACCACCACTGAAAATTTTTTCCTTTGATATAATTTAAATTTGAACAACAGAATGAATCCTATTGAAAATATAGGAGAAAGCCAGAAGATGGAGGCTACTTCAGCAATATCATTGAGTAATATTGAAATGCATCATTTTTATCTACAAATTACAACAATGATTTAAAAATCAATCATCATTTTCTTACAAAAAAACGTGTGGTATGCAGCAAGGTGTGGGTAATTCGGCTAGTAAAATATATATATATATATATATATATATATATATATATATATATATATATATAAGGTTGGATTGATGTGAGTTTGTGACCTGGGTTTCATGCTTTTACGCGATCATCAGACTGACGATCACAAAAGCATGAAACCCAGGGTTACAAACTCACATCAATCCAACCTAATATGTTATCTCTATCTCTGATATTGAGCGCTTAATAAGTACTGCATATAATATATAAATAATTATATATATATATATATATATATACACACACACACACACACACACATATATATATATATATATATATATATATATATATATATATATATATATATAAAATGTGTGTGTGTGTGTGTGGTGTGTAAACCATGAACACCAATATAAATCCTGATCTAACATTTGTCAACAAAAAATTAGTTAACAACTTTTTAGACTAATGTGCTAACAACTGCACAAAAACATCTAGGTGTGATTCAAGAATTGCTTAATTTGCTGCCATCTCTTTCTCTCACTTTCAAACACACACACACACACACAGTAATATGAGATTGAGCTTTGGGAAATGCTGTTGTATTCTGGAATCTTTATCAGCTAAAAGTAATCTATCTCTCAATGCATGAATATTTTAAAAGTTTTATTAAATAGGACAAAAGCATTGTCATTTTAAAATATTTTACTATTTTGTGAAAAATAATTGACTGTATTAGAGATTAAATTCTACCAAAGGATTTAAATTACTTAAAAACAATGACATTAGCAAAATTTGAACTCCTTGTTTGTGAGGTTGGAGTCGGAAAAAAAGAAGTGAATATGACTATCTGAAGTGTGACATCCTTTCATACATTGTTTTCCTCTGTCACTGTTACCATCATTCTGTCCTGTGAGTATCAAATTTTCTAAGCTTTCTTTTGTGCCCCAGAAATTCTATCTCTTTCTGATGTTAAGTATAAGTGTCCGTTTTGTTTCCATTTTCTCAAAAACTTTGTTGCTTGCTCATATGTTCAGTCCATGGTATTCTCAGCATCCTTCTGTAGAACTACATTTACATGCACATTATTTCTTAAAATAAACTCATTATGTTCAAACTACAGTCTTTATCTTCCAAATTCTACATGTATTTTTAACAGTGAAACAACTTGCCAAATCAAGTCTAATTCATTTTTTAACTGGTAACAGTTTTTACTATTTTCTTTCATGTGCTGTCTTTCTTTAGGGTGTGGGTAATCAACATCTCTCCACAGCTTCCTGTTTTTTGTAGTGATAAACAACAATCGTCCCTTTATTACCCCTAACACTCACTACTCTGCCACCAATTTACACAAACTTGTTAGGTAGCATTTTTCTTAGTTTCTCTAGCCTTCATTGTCTTGTGAGTATTAATTTCTCTGATTCTACTATCTCCATTATGTGCTTCAGAAATTTCAACTGTTTCTTCCTGATTGTAAGTATAAGTACTCTTTTTGTTTCCATTTTTCTTAAAAATTTCATGTTATTTACATGTTCTAACTATAGTATTCTCAGCATCCATCTTTAAAATCTCATGAGTCTCATTTACTATAAACATTGAATACAACAAAATACACATTTATGAAAACCTCTCTCTCTATGTATATTTCTCTATCTATCTACCACTCTCTGTCTTTCGAAGGAGGTTGTCTTTGTTTTCAAAGATTATACTTGACAACAGCAGAATGATGTAATGGAATAACCTGTCACCCCCATGAGTGACTACACTATAGGTAGTAACTACCTATAAGTATCTGTAAGGCAACGGACTGCAGGACTCTAGCTGGTATCTGTTGAGTACGACTCACACTTACGCAAGAACTCCCGACCTTCCAATAGTAGCACTCACTACTGGATTGACTTGCGATGACCTTTGTGCATAACTGTTACCTTTATTCTTATTGTACTGGTTTTTACAGTAAGCCTTTACTTATTTTATCCACCATGTTTGTCAAATATATATTCCTATTAGCATGGAATATCACAGAAGAAACTGTCTGTAGAACTGTCATTTCATGTCTCTTCTCCATTTCTGAGGAAATTGTCCAATATGCACTGCCATATAGGATGACTGATAATACATAAGAGTTCATATTTATTTATGACTTCCAGCCATATCACATTGAAGCACCAGTACTTGTCTGATCATCAAAGTTAAGCAACATTGAACCTGTTCAGTACCTAGATGGGTGACCACTTGGGAATATCAAGTACTGTAATCTTCGATGTGCAGGTTGTGTAATGGATAAAGGCTTGGAATGAGAAATTGGAGAGCCAAGTTTGGATTCCAGTCAAGTTTGTTATATTCACTTACATGCAAATACCCTTGAGAAAGGTATGAATCCATCTCTTTTCCTCACAGCTGTGGGTTAAATAGTAAGACATATCAGAAAATCATTTGTAGTCAGTTTCTTCTGGCTTTTAATAAAATTACCTAATTCATTTCCTTCAACCAACAGAGTAGTGTAAGTCAAACAATCCAACATGTGTCTCTTGTTTGCTACTGCAGGCACACTTCTTTCTGTCACCTCTTTAAGCATATTTTAAAGATTGAGTGACAGTTCTAATTTTCATATATTAAAAGAGATTCTCGCAAAAGTCTATCTGACTCCAAGATCTACCTATTTTTTAAATATATGACTCGTAAAGCCGCCATTTTCTTTTTGTGCATATTTTACATGCAAGATACATCAGAATCTGTTTTTGTCCCTGAGTGAAGTCATTTTCTCTAGTGTTACATCATTTTTATCTCAAAAAAAAAAAAAAACCTGAAAAAGGTTAATAAGCCATAAAAAAAGAATCAATAAAAAAAAAAAAAAAATATTAAACTGTGGGTTACAAACTACAGTAGAAATGGTATCTGGAGTTTTATAGAAAATCATTGATTTGCTTTCTGTGTGATTCCATATTTTATAGATGGAATTTTAGTATTTGCTTTATTGTTAAATTTATTGTGGCACGCCACAGCTTCCTATCTTTTGTAGCTATTAGTAAGTTTTGTTTTTAGCAATCACTCCTAATCTCTCTTCTGCCAACCATTTAATGCAAGCTCATTAGGTAAGTTATTCGGTGCTTTTCACTGTCCGACTTGCCTTTTGTTCTTTCAGACAAAAGAATCATCTTTTCACCTTCACCCCCACTCACTGTTTTATCATCCATTTGTTAGTTAGATTACTCACTATTTCCCTTTGTCCTTCTTGCCTTCAACATGTCCTGTGAGTGTTAAATTCTCCAATCTTTCTTTCCTCATTATGTGTACTAGAAATTTCAGCTCTTTCTGCTCATAAGTATAAGCACCCATTCTTGTTTCCATGTTCTTTAAAACTTACTTGCTATTGATAGGTTCAGTCCATATTATTCTCAGAATTTCTTCTGTATAAGCACATCTGTTACTTCAAGTCTTCTTCATCTGTGAGTAAAATGCTCAGCATTTCCTGACATATAAGAGGATTGATAATCCATGGCACTACATTGGTCTATAGAAACCCATATCAAGACAAACAGCAGTAATAATAAAAAAAGTTTGAAAAGCGAGCAGATACGTGCTATTATGAATGTGGCACAATAACACTTACTGTTATCAAAAATAAAAATGGTTGTTATTGTTTGTGCAATTTGAATTGCCATTTGTCAGAAACATCTAGAAAATTATGTCATTGGGAATGTAAGTTCTGTTTGAGTGCCATCATACAATAAAAAACACGTGATATTAGAAAGGAAAAAATTCCATTTTTGATTGTTGTATTCAATCTTTTTATATTTTTTATAATTTGTAATGTTGTAGTAAAATTACTTTTTTTATACAACAACAACAAAAGAACCCAGTGTGATATATACTTGGAAGAAAAAAAAAGTAACATTTGAATATTGAAATATTCACATACTGCTTCCTTTTATTCGTATGAACCCACAAAATAAAAACGTTTCCAAGTTCTAAGTTTGATAAATCTCTAATTTGTTTACCATGATATAATTCACATTATAATGGGCATATACAAATATATATATGTATATATATATATATAAGTCTGAGTTTATTAGTAGGTTTAGGTATAGTATTAAACATGTGCCATCTGCCTAATGATTTTTTTCCCTTATTCAATTAGATGAGATTGATTTGTGTTTTTATGGATTATCAACTTTTTGCAGATTATTTAAATCCAGGATATATTTTTAGATTGTAAGAATTATTTAGAGATAATAATGATTTACCAATTAACCCATACCTGGTGGGATGAAGAGATGGCTTCATACCTTTCCCAAGGTTATTTACATGTAAGTGAACATAACGAACCCAATTAAAATTGGAATTTGCTTCTCTAATTTCCAATTCCAAGTCTTTATCCATTTCACTAGCTGCACATCCAAGCTTACATTACCTGGTATTCCGAAGCAGTCACCTATCAAATTACTGACCAAGTTTAATGTTGCTTAACATTGGTGATCCTATTAGAACTGGTGCTACAGTGTTTCAATTGCTTGTACTCAAATAAGTCTGGACACAGGATCTTTTTCTTTGCTTATTTTTCTTCAACCCCCTTATGAACAACTACTGTTCACAAGGTTTTTTTTTCATCTCACCCTTCACCATGTTATGTCAGTATAAATGTTCCATTTTCCCTTTGTTTAAGTTCTGGCTGCTTGATAATTGCAGAAATGTGAAACTCGATTAGTAGTCTGAACTCTATCTCTTTCTGAGTCAAGACACTTGAAAGTGTATTTGTACCGTCTTGGTTATTTTAGCCATAGAGCACTATATTACTGGATGATATACTAATACTATATAATATAATATATTATGGTAAGTGTCTGTCTTTTGGTCATTTTATTTCTTAGTTCATTTTTTTTTCCCTTTTTCTTCTGTTGGTTTTTCTCTTGTTTTTTGCTTTATTGGTTGTTATAGTCAAGAGGACACCAGAATTATCCTCAAAAATAACAACACATCAGCAAAGTCAAAATTACAATGAATGAACATTATCTATGAGTTCAAATGCTCCTCAAGGAACTGTGTTCTTGATCAAACTGAATTCATAAATAATTACATCAGTCACACGACTAGATACCTATCCAGATGCCTTATGTTACACCTATCTGACCACAGTTCTGTTAGAACCATTTAAACACACACACACACAAACTTACCAGACTCCATCCAAAACATACTAGTAGAAAATACAAACATAATAATCTCATCTACACGTAAATAAAAGATTAAAAATAATGGAGGCCTTAATAATAAAAAAGAAAAAGCCAACATTTAATAATATTAACTACAAACATGGTCACAGTGTGCTGTGTTCAGAAAATAAAACATCTCTATAATACTAAAAACATACACATGATGCACACACCCACTTGAAAAAATAAAATCATCCTTGATAATGACTAAAAGTATAGCCAAAAGCATTTCGAATTATAGAACATTTGGACAGTTTCTACACACTCTGTGTCCAGAAAAGAAAACACTTGTTCAAACATAAGAAAAATGAAATAAAATGCTTAATTGTAGTACCTTGTCTGTCATTTTAAATGAAACATTATATATATATATAAGTGGTGACTGTAGGTCATCAGTATTACTAAGGCTCAGATCTCTTAAAAGTGGTGAGGAACTGCCTGCACCCTGAAAATCACCATTACCTTTGGGGAAAATGATGTGAACAGATGTTAACATGCTAATTTTTACTTGCAGCCTCACCATTACCACCCACCAACTCAAAGGTTGTTCCCCCACTCAAAACATTCTGGTGTTGATCCTGTTCTGCTTCATTACAATTTTTAACAAAACTTAATATATGTATAATTTATGGTTTAAAAATTTGTCCTAAATAAAGGTATCTCCAATTTTCATTGCAGAAATTTAATACTTGATTAAAAGAAAAAAAATTTTTTTTCACTTAATTTTATAGTTAATTTTTTCTATGTGTCACATCAGGTTTATCAAATAATTTCAAAATCAGCCTAAATGATGCACAAATAATTATTCTACATAAATGCATGGTAATGTAATTTTAAGACAAAATTTTTTTACTATTTTTGTGTATATATCTATGCATTAGTGTCTGAGTGTCTGTCTGTCTCTCCCTCTCCCTCCCTATTTAAAATTTTGTATAAACAGCGCTGAGCAGTGACATTTTGTTTCAGTCATACATTCCTTATCTGACCAAATTGCAACACACAAACATGCAATCATACCATTAATTTTTTTTCTTTTCACTCAAGCAGATTTTTTTTAGCCCAACATTGATTTTTTTTTAAAAATTTGATTTAACATTACAATGAACAAAAAAATGAATTCACAGTTAAAATTTAAATCTAGGAAGTTGAAAGGAAAGGTATTTTTTCAATTCTTTTATATGCCACATCTCTTCAGGATGTTAGCGATCATGGCTCTCCACAATTTCCTGTCCTTTGTAGTTCTTAATCAATTTTGTCTTTTTGTTATTTCTCTTAAACCTTATTCTGCCATCTATTTACTCAAGCAAGCTAGATAGGTTGTTCGTCTTTTACCTCTGTTCCCCTTGCCTTCAATCTCTCATGTAAGTAAGTTACTAATGCATATTTCTCTATTCCTTGTCTAGCCAAATCATGGAAAACACAAACCAAACACATTAGAACTATTTTTTTCACCTGGACAGATTTTTTTCAGCTGTTTTTTTTTTTTTTTTTTACTTTATTTAATAATGAACAGAAAAATGAATTCAATGTCAAAATTTAACACTAAGAAGGTGAAGTAAAAAGGTATTCTTTGAAAAACAGAATTAAATTTGGTGTAGATTTTTAAAGATTATTTTTGGTAGTTCAGGTAGAAATCTATTTGTCTGGCCCATGCTATTAGAAATATTTCCTTTTGGCATTTCCAGGCTGGAATTTTGGAGCCTTGTAATCACTTTCTTGAATTGCTAGTCATGTTGATTTTTTTTTTCTTCATCTAACATTATTATGAATACTTTCAGCAAAATTTATTTAAGTCAGCATTTTAGACTTTGAAGTTAAAACTATAAAAAGCAGTAAGTTAAAACAATTCAAAGTCATTTTATTCTTGATGATTCATTTCACGACTTTGAGTGCAATGGAATTCAAGGAGGAATGGCAGGTTCTTAAAGACTTTTGTCTCTTTCATACTGATAGACTTGGCAGCTTATGTTTTATATATGAAAAAAAAATGAAATAAGCAAAGTCAAGGTCAGGATTATAAAGAATTCAAAATATTAGCCCAT